ATCCAAAATACAAATAAATACAAAACTTTAAAAATAAATAAATAAATAAATAAATAAATAAAATTTTTTCTCTCATGCTGGCTACAGGGACGGCCCGCTGGTGCGCCCATCAACCTGTGCGATGGTTTCTCCCCAAGAGAGAGGTGGACGATCTAACACTAAGTAACTGCAGCCAATTACGTGAGACTTGAATCCCACCCTGCCCCGACTTCCCCAGTGTAAGTCAGGAGGCTCAGAAATCCCGAGCATCTGCACTTGACCTCCGCTGCCCTCACCCTGCCCACCTCACACCAGGGGGATTTCTGGAGCGCTACAGAGGCACACAGGTGAGAAGTCGTGGAATCTGGAGCATTCTACTAAAGTGGACCCTGTGAACACCACCTCACCTAATGGCTTTTCCTGCAAATCTTAGGCAAAACCAGCTCACCACCTCCTGTTGGATGGACAGTAAAAACTTACTTGACCAAAGGCATCTGGCAACTTAATACACAGTGGGATCTGCGTTCACAGGACGTCTTTGAATCCTCTACAATGCAGCAGTCAAGTTCATGTTTCTGGGGGAGAGACCTCGTAGCTGTCACTCAAAGCCCATTTGGCTGTATTCCGCCACAAACCAACAGGCTTTGACATCTGGGTTCTCAGACCAGGGAACAGGACAAGTGGCAGATCTAAAAGGAGGCTTTGGGTGTGTGTGGAGCAGTGCGGGGCGTCAGCAACTCATGACAGCAACCTGAAACAACAGCGACCATAGCAGGCAGGGAAAACCAGCAGGAGGGCAGAAGCCTCAGGACACGTGACACCATGGCCCATGGAGTCAGGGGCACCAGCCCAGCCTCTGCAGCCAGCACACCCCCAAGGCCGCAGGGAAGGAACACCAGTCCAGAGCTCTCCCCTTCCCTGCCCTAAAGAAACCCAACAGGAGAGGCCCCAAGGGATCAAGAGATGACCACAGAGGAGGAGGCACGACCTGGCAGTAAACACAGCAAAGGATGCTCACTAGGAACAGAAGACGCAAGCTCAGATGGCAGAGACTGGGAACATCAGGAAGTCTGACGCTGTCACAGAAGGGAACAAGGACACGGAGCAAGAACTCTAACACCTGCTACGGGGCAGCTGGCTCAGGAGAAGCGCTGTGGAGAGCAATGTGGCAATTCCTCGAACACGCCCCACAATGCCGCATCTAGCGACCTGTACACCTACCCATGGGGAGACCCACACGGGGATATGCACCAGGACAGAGGAAACACTGGAAACAACCAGACTCTCCCCCACAGAACAGATGCAGAAAAAGCAATGAGCCCGCTGAAGGATTACCACACAGCACAAAACAGGAACGCACCAGCTCCACGCGAGCAGCAATGACACACCTCAACACAACGCTGGAGGGAAGCCCAGGCTGCAGCCCGTGTGCGGAGTTACACACGTACGGACATTACAAACAAGCGGAACAAACGCTGTGCTTCTCGCGGATGCCTGCAGGCATTTCAGAGAGTCAAAAAGCAAACTCACGCTGTAGGTTCAGGGAGTCAGAGGGGCTTTATTTCAATCAATATATGATGATCCTTTATTTCTGTTTTTTAAGATTCTTAAAATAAATCACAAAAGGAATGCAGAGGGGCCGGCTCAGTGGCGAAGCAGTTAAGTGCACGTGCTTTGCTTTGGTGGCCCCGGGTTCGCAGGTTCAGATCCCAGGCTCACACTGACTCACCGCTTGTCAGGCATCCCGTATAAAGTAGAGGAAGATGGGCACAGATGTTAGCGCAGGGCCAGTCTTCCTCAGCAAAAAGAGGGGGATTGGCAGATATTAGCTCAGGGCCAATCTTCCTCACAAAAAAAAAAAAAAAAAAAGGAATGCAGAAAAAGCCAGACACAAAAGGACAAATTCCACTTCTATGAGGTCCCTAGAACAGTCAAACTCATAGACAAAAAGTAGAAGGGTGGGTGCCAGGGCTGGGGGATGGGGTGGGAGTGAGTGTTTAATGCAGACAGAGTTTTAGTTTGGGAAGATGGAAAAGATCTGGAGATGGACGGTGGGACAGGTGCACAACAATGTGAACATACTTAAAACCATGGGACTGTACACTTAAAAACAGTTAAAATGGTAAATTTTGTTATGTGTATTTTACCACAATGAAAACAGAATGCAGAGCTGTAAAAAGAATGAGCAAGAGCTGTATGACCTGATACAGAGAGATTTCCAAGATGTTATCAGTGAATGAAAAAGCAAAGTGCGTATAAGAAAGGAAGAGATAGGAGAACACGTTCTGTGTCTGCTCATCTGTGCAGAAGACACATAGAGGGACACAGGAGGACTGCTGAGACTGGGGTCTGGGGTGGGTATCGAGGGATGGGGGTAGGAGCTGAGGGGGCAGCACCTCTCCGAGCCCACCTTTTATAGAGCTCTGACGCTGAGAACCACAATGAGGCTTCACATTTGAAAAAAACACACAAACCAACCAAGCAGGACGTGGGGTGAAGGCAATCTGGAACATTAGGCAGTAATAAATGAATCTGACCACATCGTGATCGAGTAACACAACCACACAGAGGGAGGCGGGAAGAAAACCATCCCAAGTAACTCTGGAAAGCGGTATTCTGAATGGATACTGTCAAGCTAAAGCCAAAGAGGGTACGCAAACATTATGCTCCAAGGGGCAGGTGTGTGTCTCCCAGGGCAATGGGCTGGTGATTTTGAAACTGCCTCATGCACACCTAGGACTGAACAAGTCAGGAAATACACTGTGGATACTGAGAGCCAGGCTGTTCGCTGTTGGAGAGAGAAGAGAGAGAAGGTAAGGAAGGGAGCAGGCTACAAGAGGCCCTGTGATGCTGGGCTGGAATCAGAGGCATCAGCATGAACTCATTTTTAATATAAATGCAAATGGATAATATGGAAATAAACACAGGGGTGTGTGTCTGTGCACAGATCAACTTCCTGCACTGTCCACTGACCAGGCCTAGAGGTGACGACACCCCACTAGCAATGAGCACACCTAATGCCTCATCTTGGTTTCTAAATCCCACTCTCCAATAAAAGAAACCAGGGCTCCTTAGAGAAATGGTCAATTCCAGGGCAGGGGCAGGGGCAGGGGAAATACAAGATGAGCCTGGAATGTCCCGTAGTGACAGAAGTAAGGAAGTGCTCAAGAAAGAAGGGCATGTTGCAAGGGCACAGCACCCACTTGAAAGAACATCCACGGCCAAATCTGGAACAATCTGAGCAACAACACAAACAGTGAGAGCAGTGGAGTAAAACCTACTGAATAAAATAAATCCCATGAGTCCACACTGACAAAAGTAAATAATCGAATAAATAAATAACTGGGGAGAAGGGACAGGGCTTTCTCACAGCAGCGCTCCCATTAAAAAAATACAGAAGGAAGGAAGGAAACAGAAAACCATCATCAGACAAACCTCAAAGTAACACCTGTTACTGGCAAGATCCATCAACTGGTGCCAGAATCAATGGGCAAAAGTCTGACAAGAAACAGGGTATTTGCAGACTCTTGAAGTATCTCCCCACAAGATAATTATTAATTAGAAAGGGAACAACTGGGGCTGGCCCCGTGGCTTGGGGGTTAAGTGCGTGCACTGTGCTGCCGGCGGCCCGGGTTCGGATCCCGGGTGCGCACCGACGCACCGCTCCTCTGGCCATGCTGGGGCCGCGTCCCACATACGGCAACTAGAAGGATGTGCAGCTATGACAGACAACTATCTGCTGGGGCTTTGGGGGAAAAATAAATAAATAAAAAATCTTTAAAAAAAAGAAAGGGAACAACAGTGACCTCACAGAGGAGAAACCTGGTAGACACCACTTTAACCAAGTGGTCAAGGTCAACGTCACCAGCAACAAGCTGTAACACCACCACGTGCCCCAATATGCTTCACTGAGAAGGACACGGCATCACCTGTGTGGTTTTCCGGGCAGAAACATCAGACAAACCCAAACTGATGGACATTCTCCCAAAGACCCGGCCAGTGCTCCTCAAAAGTGTCAAGGTCACGAAAGCCAAGGAAAGACTGAGGCCTGTCGAAGCTTGGAGAAGGCTGAGGAGATGTGACAACTGCACATGACGAGGGGTGCTGAACCGAATCCTGGAACAGAAAAAGGACCTGAGTGGGGAGAGTGATGAACGTCTAAGGTCTGAGGCCGACTAGCGGTACTGCACTCTGCGTTCCTCGTTCTGATAATCGCACTATGGGGACACGTGACGCTACGATACAGGGAGCTGGAAGAGGAAAAGAACAGTTCCATGCTCGGGGGTGAGGGGGCTTCAACTAGGTACAGAACTCACTGAGTGGCGGAGAGAACGCCCAGGGAGATGAGGTGCTGCTGCTAAGGGAAACCACCCCTTCTCACCCCACCACTGCCCAACGTTTTCCAGTTCCATGAAATAACTGTTGGGCACTCGATGAAGCCTGAGGGAAGAACAGCGAGCAAGACCCCTTCGGGGACAGGGACAGGTTTGCTGGGATGGTGATGCTCTCGAGGCCTCCTGGTCACCCCCAGGCCCCAGTGGCGCCCACTCACCTTCGGAGGAGGGACTGCTGCAGGCTCTTGCAGGTGGTGAGGGACTCCCCAGTGAACATGTGGCACACGACGACATGCAGGCAGCGGGCCATGAAGGCCAGCACGGCCTCGGGCTGGAGGGTGCCGCTGCGGGAGACCAGGCACAGGCGCTGCAGCGCGGAGCACTGGCTCAGCGCCTGGAAGAACTGGGCGTTGGCACTGAAGTAGGGCTGCTCCAGCCTGTGGGGAGAGAGGACGGCGTGAGACCTGCGGCAAGCCCCCGCCAGCGCAGTGCTGCTGATGGACGCGGTGGACGTGTGGTGTGCGGGTACCTTGCGGTCTAGGACCCCCAACCATGTATTTGGATACTAAAGAGGGCCCAGATCAGCTGTCCCCACACCCGTCTACACCACAGTCCCCAGAGCACTGAATGAGGACTCAGACCCCCGTGTCTCCCTTGGTGATCCTGATTTTGAGGGAGACCCTGCAGGCCCGATGCAACCAGCCCACCACTGCCTAGAGACCCCAGCCAACTCACTGCTCAGATCTAGAGCCTGCCACGCTCGCTGTGCTGCCTGCTCGGTGCGCCCAACTGACCCCTGGGCACCCCACCCTTCCTCAGACACCGAGGTGCTGGGCCGGGGGCTGGAGAGATGCTCTTACATGTGGTCCCTGCCCTCGGGGGGCTCAGTCTAATGGGGAGACAGGTACTCACAGCCCTGCTTGCCCGTCACGACCAAACACCAGACACTGAGGGACAGGTAGGGAATGGCTGTGGGGGGAGGGACCTGAGCCAGGTGGGGCCACTGCAGCCACGTCAGGAAGGTGGGGCAGCAGTGGACAGATCCACGGCCAGAGGGGGAGCTGAGGGTGAGGGCGGCCACAGAAGAAGCTAAGACTTCAGCCGTAGACACAAGGAAGAATTGGAGGGTTCCCCCAGGTCAGACCTGCTTTAGGAAGACGGAGGGGAAGAGGCAAGAGTGCATGCTGGCCGCCAGGGAGGGGCCTCGGCACGGGGCAGGAAGGAGGTGCCGCGAGTCTGCACTGGCGCTCCAGTTACAGGGAAGAAGAGCAGGACCTGGAGGAAAGCGGAGTCGGGGATGTTCCAGACCCTTCCCTGGGAGTCTGCGCACCCAGACAGAGAGCGGAAAGGACACAATGATGCAGTGGGGAGACATTGTTGGGGGTGCTGAGGAAAAGTGACAGGGAAGTTTGGCCGCCAGCTGAGAACATGGTTGTGGAACCAAAAGATGCCTGGATTCGTGGCAGGATGCTGGGCCGGAGGCCCTGTGAGCTCCTCTGGGGGAGAGTCGGGGAGAGCGGGGGTGGGATATGGGGGGGTTGGTTGACAGGACTCAGGGGCTGCCGGGAGCACCTGAGGGTGCAGGTGGGCTGAGAGCCCAGAGAATGGGGAGGGGAGGGGTCGGCCCTGTGGCGTAGCAGTTAAGTGCGCGCGCTCTGCTGCTGGCAGCCTGGGTTTGATCCCAGGCACGCACCAACGCACCGCTTGCCAGGCCATGCTGTGGCAGTGTCCCATATAAAGTGGAGGAAGATGGGCACAGATGTCAGCCCAGGGCCAATCTTCCTCAGCAAAAAGAGGAGGATTTGGCATGGATGTTAGCTCAGAGCTGATCTTCCTCACAAAAAACAAACAAAAAAAAGAATGGGGAGGGGAGCTGGTGGGAGTTGAATTGTGTCCCCAAAAGACATGTAGCAGTCCCAACCCCGTCCCTGTGATGGACCTTATCTGGAAGTAGGGTCTTTGATGCTGGATCAGCGTGGGCTCTAAGGAACCTAGTCACTGGTTCCTTACCAGAAGGCCATGTGAAGGCACAGTATCACAGGGACATGCAGGGAGATCGCCATGTGATGACGGAGGCAGAGAGCAGAGCAATGCATCCACAAGCCAAGGAACGCCCAGCACTGCCAGCAACCACCAGAAGCTAGGAGACGGGCCTGCAACAGGCTCTCCCTCAGAGCCTCCAGAAGGAACCCAGCCTGCCGACACCTTGACCTCAGACTTCTGGCCTCCTAACTATGAGAGGATGAATTTCTGTTGCTCTGAGTCCCCCCGGTTTGTGGTCATTTGTCAGGGCAGCCCCAGGACACTAACACAGAAGCCAAGGGGAGGGAACCGAAGGCACCGACAGAGCGGAGATCTCTCATGGTAAGTTCCACACAAAGACCAAGACAGCCTCATGAACAGAGATCAACGGGTAGGTTGTCTATGCAAAATCTTCCCAGAAGAAAACCTATTAGCAACAATCATCCCTGGAGAGCAGAACTAGGCTCCGGGAACCATCTTTATTTCACAGCCTTTGGCACGTCAGTCCCTCTCAGACACATCCATGCATCACTAGGTGCTTTTACAAAACCTGTTCTGACTACAGTAGGGAGGCACTGGTCACCTGGCCGGAGCAGCTTCAAGCCTGGCGGCACCAGCAGGAGATACAAAGCAGAAGGCGGCACAGGGGCTGCAGCGGGCGGAGAGAAGGGCTTTTATGGGTGACGAGATCTGGCATGTCAGTGGAAGCCGCAGCTCAGAGGGAGCGGTTGACAGAAGGCAGGGGGCCTCAGCCACCCCCAGGGCTGAGCCCCAAACCACAGCAACCAAACCCCACCGCCTTCTGAAAGCCGGGAGGGGAAGAAACACCAGGCAAAGGATGAAATCCATGAGGAAGGTACTTCCCCTTCACTGACGGGCTTCATCGATCTTTGGGTCACCTACGTCTGAACTTGATAACTGAGAATGAGGATGCTGTAAAAGGGCAGCCACTGGGACGAGCTGCCAAGGCCACTGACAGATCTCCTGTGGACCATGGTGGGGACTGGGCCCCCGCCAGCAAGCAACCAGGCCCTGGAGACTAAACGTAGGACAGCGCTTGGCCAAGTTGCCGCCTCCATCGTGGGGACACTGCCGCATGCCAGGGTGACACTGTTCTCTTCCCTCGACATTCTGAGTCTCCCCTGAGTCCAGCCAAGTGAATCTATCTAGGCACCCGCCAAGGCCCAGGCCATGAGCAAATCACTCTCTGCAGAAACACGGTGTCAGCCCCAGACCAGGGGGCTCTCTGAGCCTCGGCCCTACCCACAGGGCAGACACAGACCCCTGGGGGTGGGCTGGGGCAGCCGGCAAGACCCCCATCTACATGCGAGACCCACAGGGAACCCCACAAGGCCCATTTCTCACTGTAAACTGACGAGGCCACGCTGGTGACTTCCTGGGACAGCCCAGAGAAGGTGGCCTGCGGCTGTGGGCTCATCATAAAAAGAGAGAAGCTTCCAGGGTGAGCAAGAAACACCCACACCCACCCCCAAAAGGCAGCAGGACTGTACAGGGGACAGAGAGTGTCCCCGTCCAAGCCCCTGAGTCCCCAGGTGGAGGGAGAGCCCGAGTGCTCTGAACTAGCGACACATTGAGAGAGGTGACAGCCAGGACGCAGGCAAAGGCAGTCAACGGGCTCCCCCTCCTCAACCCAAACAAGACCTGCACAGGCCTGGTGCTCCAGTCTCCATCACCCTGACACCCGGGGACACTGACAAGTCACAGGACAAGAGCAGGGATTTTAAAATCAAGTCTGTGAGGAAAAGGCAGATCCTGGCACCTGGGGCATCGTCCACAGAAGCTCCTGCACTGGGGGAACGTCTATTCCAAGCTGCCCATACGGGAGCCACGAGGCACTGAAATGCGGCAGGGAGACTGGTTCATTTCATTTTAATTAAATGTATGTAGAAATTCTAGTAAGCTCCTGATGCTAAGATTGTGGGGGGAAATGCAGGTCTTGCTGGGGTACAGTTTCAAAAAGCCTCATGTTCACTCCCTGACCAACAGCACGAGGCGCAGCACGGAGGCAGCCCCTGCGGGCCATCCTGGGCACAAACCAGGAAAAGAGCTTCCCAGGGCCACAGCGCCAGAGCTGAAATGCAAGCAGATGTCCCCGTCAGAGAGGTGGAGCATGAGCCTCACCCTCTAGACTCCACTGAGTAATTTCATCCTTACAGAAACGGGGGAGAACTGACAGCTGTGAGCAGAGGGCAGCGCCTCTCTGAGAGGCTGAAGTGGCTGTGCAGGGTTCCAATTCACCCCAGCCAAGGACAAGGGAATGCCCTAAGTCACGCAGCGTCGTCCCTACCATAGATGTGAATTTTTTGAGAAGCTGGTTTTTCTCGAGAAATTGTTTGAACACACTATTTGTTTCTATCTTTTAAAAACAGTTTTTTGAAAAATCCTAAGGTAAGCATCCCTTTGCAGACCTGAAGGTAGGAAAATTGGATGGAGGCAAAAATCCAGAACCAGGACTGCTGAGCTGCAGTCATCTCTGGCTTGTCCCTGGAGCAGCGGGGAAGCTGCGACGGAGCAGGCACGGAAGCGGGCTGGAACGCAGGCCAGCGCGCAAGGACAGGCCTGCGGCACCTCGGTCACTAGGTGGCGATGCAGGTCTGCACCACCCACTGAAGATCTCGTTCCAGCCTCCTGGTCACAAACCAAGTAGGCAGAGAGCGTGGGTGCGCGTTGTGTACATACACACCCTTAAACATTTTTTCAACTAGCCAGCCACTTGCAGATTCTCCCACCCTGAAGGAGCCACCTGCCACAGGTGTCCAGGACGAGGCAGGCCTGGTGGGAGAGCCCTGTCCACTCCACCGGCTATCTGGACAGGTGGGGCTTGCACGTCCCCCTGCTCCTCTGCACAGTGGGCTGGCAGAACTGCGAGTGACGGGCGGCAGCATCTGTGATTAGGGAGGGGGACGAGGAAAAGGTATCCGCCATGATGGGCTTCACCTGGAGGGGGGCCTGCAGCCCTTCTCCCTCCCAGACATCCCTGCACCTTCAGATCAATAAGGATCTGGCCCCCACAGCCGGCTCCAGAGAGGCGGCTTGGTCTCCTCAGGCCCTGTGGGCACAGACAGGCACTCAGGGCTGCCCCTCTCATCTGCCCGCCCGCCTCGCAGGCCCCGAGCTGCGCCCAGGTCTCTAGGACAGTCTTGGAACAGCCTGCAGGGCCCGGCTCCAAACAGGTCCTCTTGCTTCCGCCCAGACACTGCCCTGGTTCCGAGGTCACCAGCAGCTCAGGGTGACTCAGGGTAACACTCTCCCGTGCCGCCTCCCCAAGGCAGGGCTTAATCAGTCCTGGGAAAGAAGGTGCCCTTCTCTGTCCAACTTGTAATCCTCTCGCTGCCGAAGTGCACCCCGAATGGGGAGCCACAGGAGGCCCCAGCAGAACAACACACTCCCGCAC